AAATCACCATTCATGATGTATTTTTATCAGAAAGTTGAACATGAGATTGATTAGCCACTAGATCGCAGAACCAGTTTACAGGAAATACAGGGCCTGGAGGAATATGTTAAATGACATCACAAGAACATGGCCCAATGCCTTCAACAGATTAATTGCAAGAAAAGAAAAGAAGGAGAAGAAAGGAGATAAGGGGGTGGGGAGGAGGAAGAACCCAAGATTAAAAGGGATTTAAGAGACATGATAACCAAGTGCAATGTGTGGACTTTGTTTGGACTCCGATTCAAACAACAATAAACAAACAAACAAAAAGGAGCCAGTTGGGCAATTTGAATTATTCAATAATGTCCAGGATTTGCTTCAAAATAAACTAATGGGGGCTGGAAGGGAAACAAGGTTTCTACGTGTTGATAATTGCTGGGGCAGAACGGAGGGCTTCAGAAGGGTTCATTATACTATTTTATTTGTTTTTACATATGTTTGGATTTTTCCATAATAGAAACAATTTTTTAAGTCCTTTTATTACCAGTTCCAACGTCAGGACATGTGAGTCCCACCCCCAGAATGAGTGGCTACCTGGGGAAGGACACCTGGTCACCAGCAGTACCTTCTATGGCCACTGGCTGGCTCTAAGACTCAATGAGCAGGCTAGAAATAGCTTCTCTGCAGGGCAGGCTTCTGTGAACCAAGGTCATAAAAAAGTGACAGGACAGCTCACTATTAATTCACAACATGAAATGTAACTACCCAGTTTTTAGTTTCTAGTGGGTCCCCTGCACAAGAAGCCTATTGTAAGCAGAATGCCCCAAACCTCCAGCTGTCAGAGCCCCAAATCTAAGTCATCCTTGACCCTCCCTTTTCCCCACCCACCCACAGCCCTATGTCCAGACCTTCTTTATCTTCTAAATAACTCTTGGTACCCCCTACTTCGCTCTACCTTCTTGGGTCCACCCTGCTCCAAGGCCCTTCCTGTCCCTTCCAGATAACTTTAAGGCTTCCTCATTAGTCTTTTGCTTAAAATCTGTTCTCCAGGTTGCAACCAGAGTCATCTTCTAGAATACAAATCTGACCATGTGCCTCCCTGTGCTGCAAGGCCTGACATGATTTGGCCTTTGGACACCTATCCAACCTCACTGTGATCTTTCCTTCCAACACTAAACTTCAGAAATGCTGGCTTTCTTACTGTTCAACAAATACACTGGGTTTGTTCCTGTCACCTTTGCACTTGACATTTCTTCTGCCTGGAATGTTCTTTCCCCAGATTTTCACATGGCTGACTCTCTTCATTCTGTTCAGGGACCTTGGAAAATCTTGCAAAAGCAGGTCCTGGACTTTCCTCATTTTTGCCCTACGACACAGCTTCTTTCCTCTGTGAACAGTCAGACTTGATAAGGAGTCCCTGGGGGAGCTCAGTTCCAAAGGCATGGGTTTTCTACTACCAGGAGAGAAAATGCATATGAGCTACAGGCAGAGGGAAGGAAAGTATGAGGAGCCCTTCAGTCCTCACATCTTGTCTAGGTCTTAAGGATGTTTGCACGCTTGTAAAGCTCTGTGCTGGAGAATATAGGAAGCTCGTGTCTCATTTTAAGTTAGCTGTCATCCCTGTCATTCATTTTAGGAATCAAATGACAATGATAGCTGCTTCAAAGGAGAAAAGTAGTGGTGTCCACTGTACTTGATGGTTTTGCTTGTCCCTCCCAAGATGGAGGAGGTTTGAAAATATTTTCGGAACTTTGAAAGGGTCCACCAGTTAAGAAGAGAACCTTCTCTACATACGAGAGCTGAGAAACCAGTGTGGGTAATGTCTGGTTATCATCCAATATTATTACATTTGAATAGAAAATAAAGGAACTTTGGTAAACCTACCTCTTTCAAAAAACAATTCCTCAGTAAAGTCTAAATGATCACAATTTTTATTTTATAAGGATAAAATTAACTTTTGGTGATCACATCGTCTCCATCATGAGGACAAGGCCGTGTGTTTCATGAAAATTCAGGGATCGAATACCAAAACTGCCCCCCAAAACTGAGAGGGAACCCAGAGACAAAAGAATGACTCAGACAAGCCCAGAGTGATGAGTTAGATGAGTTTATTAGAGGTTACTTACTAGGGCGCTCGCTCCTGGGCAGCACAGGGACTTCTTCCACAGGAGCTTTCTTGCTAGCAAAATCCGCATCTGCCCACTCTGTGGTGTTGCCTTAAATCCCTTCCCCATGAGTAATATAAAGTTTTTACATTGTATCTTTCTTTGTTCACAGTGAAACATATCAGCGCAGGCACAGTACCATCATCATATGCTGTCATACAACCCATGTTATGTTAATGATATTGCAATTTTTCACTAGGCGGGGATTTTCATATTGCAATTAACTAGTATAACCAGAGCAGCTTTAAAGCAGTCAGGGCCAGTTTGAGCCAGACTTGCAGGGCAAGAACGTACTGAGGCACTCAAGCAAGTTTATCTTGGTACCTGTTTAGTGTGTTTTGTAACAATTTTGCTGAGCTCTCCAGGCTAGTACATAATGTTCCTTGTTATGTGATCAAGAACCTGCGTTTTTCCCTCCCTGTGTTGCCTTCTCAAGAGGTGGTTTTGGTCAGGCGCAGTGGTTCCTGGCTGTACTCCTAGCGCTCTGGGAGGCTGAGGCGGGAGGATGGATCACTCAAGGTCAGGAGTTCAAGACCAGCTTGAGCAAAAGCAAGACCTCCTTCTCGTGAAGAAAAATAGAAAAATTAGCTGGGCATGCTGGCAGGTACCAGCAGTCCTAGCTACTCCGGCTTGAGCCCAGGAGTTTGAGGTTGCAGTGAGCAATGATGATGCCACTGCACTCTAGCCAGAGTGACAGAGTGAGCCTGTGTCACAAAAAAAAAAAAAAAAAGAGTTGGTTTTATACAAAAATGTCATATAATTTCAACATGTAGTTTCTAACAACATTTAGAGATGCTCAATCCTTCCTTTTTATGATGCAATTTCATGTCTCAATGATAACAGTATATAAGACTCAGAAAAACTTCAAAGTTTATTATGTAAAAGGGTTTTAACAAAAGTAATTTGATTTACAGAAAAGTTGCAAAAATAATGCAAAGAATTCCAATGTGCCTTCACCTCATGCTTGCCTCATCATCATCTTTCTATACATAAACAAATATATTTTTTCTAAACCATTTTAGAGTAAGTTGCAGACAAAATGCTCCTTTACTCCTAAGTACTTTGGTGTGTGTTTCTACCTAGGACATTCTTTTACACAAGGACAGTACAATAATCAAAAATCAGGAAATGTACACTGATACGCTGTTATTACCTAAGCTATAAACCTTATTAGCATTTTGCCAATTGTTCCACTGCTGTCCTTTATAATAGAAGAAAAAAAAGTTATTTTCCTGGTCCCGGATCCCATCCAGGATCACACATTAAATCTGTGACGCCAAATCTGTCACCTCTCTTTAGTCTCCCTTAATTTGGAAGAGCTCCTCAGTCTTTGTCTTTCACGACTTTGACCAAAAACATTTGACTCTGAGTTCTTAATTTTTTTCACTCACTGGTTTAGAAAAAGAAAATCCACTTATTATTTTGGGGGTCTGGAATAGAGAAATGCATCCCCTCTGATTTTTGGCCAAATTCTCTAAAACCAGATTTAAGAACAAATGGCTCATTTTCAAAGAGTCTTTTCTAGATCATATTATTCTAGTTTGCCCTTTTAAAATTTACTCATAGCACCTATTACCTTGCAGATTTATTATTTGTTGGCATGTTTGTTGATCTCCCAACTAAAATATAAACTCGATGAAGGTACGGACATTTGTTCATCAATTAATCCTAAGTGCCCAGCAGTGCCTGGCACTTACTAGATGGTCAATAAATATATAAATATTTGTTGAATGAATGAATGCTTCTTGGGCTTGTAGTTTAGACTGGCTTGAAGGCACTAAGATGGGGAGTGGCCTGGGGTAGGTGGGGAGCCTACTCTTACCCCACCTGAAGGGTCCAAGCTGGCCCTTAGAAATGGGGTGTGCTTAGCCTGAGGATTCATCTGTTCTCCTGGGAAATGAGCCGGGAGGTCCCTTGAGGGATCCCCGTTGAGGCCCAAAGGTCGATGAGGTCACCCTTTGTAAGAGGTACTTGGACTGTAGCTGGGTCATGTAGGAGGCCCAGCACCTCAAAGAAATAATGAAATGGAAAGCTGAGTCTGCGACCCAGCCAGCTCTAAGCCTCCCAAGGACGCAGGGACTGTTCCATTCCCTTCCTCCACTTCCCGGCTTTCTGGCCTCCGTGTTCTTCTCTGCTCCCGAAAGGCACCTTTCAGCCACATCCTAATTCAAGGATGCTGGCCATTTTCTGCATTCTGCAAATCCCTCACCAAACTGGGCAAAGTTGTCTGGGGGAAATCGGAGTCTTCCTCAAGGAAGGTTCAAGCCTGGGGTCCTCGGACAATCAAGGGCTCCGTGAAAATATGTGAATGCCGGCTAATCTAGGAGCATCCGCCCCTCCACGTTTGGTTCCCTTGTCTCTCGGACCCAGATCAGCGGGAAGCTAGAAGGAGGGGAAGGACAGAGTGTCCGTGCCTCGGGCGTGGCGGTAACAGCGCCTTCGGGTGATCAACTCTTAACGCGGAGGGTCATCCTGGGCAGTAGCGGGCCTGAGGGACGCGGCGCTCCCGGCGTGTGCATCCGGGGCGCCAGGGATGTCCCCGGACTAGGGCAGGGCGGGTTTCTGTTCGCCGGCCCTGTGTGAGTACCCGGGCAATGCAGGGCCGCGCCACACCGCACACTCTCCGGTGTAGGCCGTTCGGCTCCGCGCAGGGAGCTAACGGTCGACTCACCCCTACTCTGCACCACCTACAAGGGTACCCCCACCTACGTCCTCCAGCGGGCCCGCAGCGGCGTGAGAATTTACTGCTCTCGCGAGAATTTTAGAGCCCTAAACGCCATGCCCGCGTACGCAGTTACCAAGGCAACTGGGCGGTGCCTAAGCGAGCGGGAAGGAGGCGTTCGTCGAGATTTTGCCTGCTTGCCCCGGAGACTTCAAAAGTGGTCGTCCCCGAACTTCCAGCCTCGGAGATCACGGCCTCCACGCCTGGCGGTGCTCCTGTCCTCGAGGGCCATGGGCCGGATCTCCGGCCTCGTGCCTTCTCGCTTCCTGACGCTCCTGGCGCATCTAGTGATCGTCATCACCTTATTCTGGTCTCGCGTAAGACCCGCGACTGCCCTCGTTACGCCCCCATTCCCAACTCGGAGTGGTCCCAGCCCAGCCGTGTCCCTTCCTCGAGGGTCTTATGCACTTGGGTCCTCCCATTCCCCCCCGCCCCCAGGCCTGCCCCGCAGCCCGCCCTTTTCACTTCTGTTTCTCTCTGTTCTGCTCCCAGGACAGCAACATCCTGGCCTGCCTGCCACTCAGGTTCACCCCCGAGGAGTATGAGAAGCAGGACACTCAGTGAGCTTTTGGGCCAGGGTGGTCAGAACAAAGAGGTGGTGGGAGTGGAGGGGTCTGAAAAGAAGTCCAGAAGGCCTGAGCCAGTCCCCTTCCTGTCTGCAGGCTGGTGGTAGCGCTCTCTGTCACCCTGAGCCTCTTTGCAGTGGAGCTGGCCGGTTTCCTCTCAGGAGTCTCCATGTTTAACAGCACCCAGAGCCTCATCTGTATCCTTTCTGCCTGCCCACCTTTCCCACACGACCCCATTTCCATCACGACTCGACTCCCTATAGCCACGTAGCTAGGCCTTTCTGGCACAATAGTTGTCTGCCCTAGCTGGCAAGAATCTCTCCAGTTAAAAGATCTTAGGCATTGCGAGAGATTTAATACAATCTTCAAACACTTATTAAACCCTGCTAGGCACCAGTCACTGGAGATTGCAAAACGAGAGTAAAACAGAGTTTTCTACCTTGAGAAGGAGGCAGACACATCTGTAATTCAGTGTGGTAAGCACTATGCTATAGGAGTGTTTAAAGATATAAAGCACTATAGGAACTCAGAAAAGACAACGGAAGTGAGGCACATGGATCAGGGAGGGCTCTTTTATTCTTTTTTTTTTTTTCTTGTTCGTTACCTCTTTTCATTTTTATTCTCTAAGGGTTCTAAGGTTGACAGGGAGGGCTCTTGACTCTTGAATTGTGGGTCAGGAGAACCAGGGCACTAGAGGCTGATTCCAGCCGAGGGTATCAAGTCTCTGCGAGCATTCCTGTGTGGCCTGGGGTAGGTGGGGAGCCTACTCATACCCCACCTGAAGGGTCCAAGCTAGTCCTTAGAAATGGGGTGGGCTTAGCCCGAGGTCCCTCTGTACAGGCTCAGCTCTGGCCTCTCCTCACCTGGGTGTCCTAAAACTAAGAAGACAGGGCTGCTGACTCTAGCCCTTACAGTATGGTGAGGGAACAAGAGATGAACCTGAGTGCTGATGCCAGCCCCATCACACTACTTACTGTCCTTTTCTGGCCCATCACTACCTGTCCATCCAAAGAACTTTCCTTGACTCTGGTGCTTTCCAAGCCATTGGGGCTCACTGTAGTGCGTCTGTGGCCCTTTCTTTCTTCATATTCGAGCGTTGGGAGTGCACGACATACTGGTACATTTTTGCCTTCTGCAGGTGTGGTAGCACCCAATATTTGGGGATGAGGGAGGAAGGTTTCCCCCACCTCTGAAGATTTTCCCCCACCCAGACCTTTCCTGTATGTGTGAAATACCACATCCATTCATCCTGGAGTCTTTTGAAGTTTCACACACCCCCTATCCCACTCCCCCTACACTTTGGGGGTGGGGTCTCTGGTTTGGAGAACTGGTTATTTACATTTGAAAGGGCCCTGAACCCACCACCTGCCTTTTGCAGCGCCCTCCCAGCTGTTACTGAAATGGCATTATTCGTCGCCGTATTTGGGCTGAAAAAGAAACCTTTCTGATCACCGTAATGACGGGAACTTAAGGATGAAATCCAGAGGAGCAGGGGTCACTTACTGTTCTTGGAAGAAGGAAGGCTTAGGCTTTGGTCCTCGCCCCTGAAACTGCTTCTGGTGGAGGATGCCAGTGTTGGTAAAATCATCTCCCAAGTATGGGATTATCAGCGTTTCTTTAGTACTTTGTAATAAAATATATTTTATAGTAAGATTAAGAGTTATACAATTTTCACGGGACAATTAGTTTGGTCAAACTACTGGAAAAAAAGAAAGGCTGTTGTCTAGTTCTGCAGAGCGTTAAGATACAAGGTATCGCTTCTATTCTGATTATTACGGTGTATGTCTGGCGGCAGGCAGTGGGCGGAGATATGTAAATAAATGGCGGCTAGAGCTTTCCTTCAGAATGAGCGGAGTATTCTGGGACGAATTGTTTATCCCTTTTACGCAGCCGAACGGAATAAAAAAAATATTTTAAAGCTACTAAAGATATGCAGTAATATAATTGGAAGGACCTTAAATGGTTAGGTTGCTAGGACCAACGCGTTCTTTGGTCACCCTAGGTTATAGTGGTATCTTGTATATTGAATTTGGAATATCAGGGAGTTAACGGTATCGTCAGGTGGGATAATCCTTACCTGTTACTCCGTATGGAGAACAGATGAGAAAATGATGATTGGAGTTTGCATGATACGTGATTATACGTCTCTGCGTAATCAGGACTGGCAACACCCTGATTGCTCCTATCTGATTCTTCCTGACGATCGTTCTTTTTTTTTGTTTTTTGTCTCACGATGTAGAATAAATTATAAGTGTTTCGGTTGTAGTATCGTGTTTTGGTTACTGTTTAGGAAGGATTTTTTTTTTTTTTTTTTATTTGGGTTGTTGAGGTCTGTTTGTTTTTTTGTTTTTCTTTCTCTGTATTGTGAGTTGGACTTAGGGTGTAAATTTTTGTTCTTCGTTTTACCGCATGGGTGATAGGCCATGTCTGATTTCCCGATTTTGTAGCTATTACAACAATTTGAGTGTTTTGTCAGTTAGCTTTTCACGTTGAGAAGTTTCGTTGATAGGATTGAATTTTTATACTTATGGGGCTTGAGTATTTATACTTCTCAACCCTTTTCTCACTTGGCAGGGACTCACATCTCTTCTCAGGAAATATTTCTCAACTAGCAAATGTCTGTGATCTTGTACATGCAAGATGGTTTCCCTCCCCAATCATGGATTGATTAATGATTTTTCAACTTTACCGCGGTGCAAAAGCAATACTCCTTCGGTATCCCTTTTACCATGGTGCAGAAGCAACACTGAGTAGAAAGCATAGTTCAAGTACCAATACAACCATTCTGTTTTTCACTTTCAGCGTTCAATAAATTACATGAGATATTCAACACTTTATTATAAAATGGGCTTTGTGTTAGATAATTTTGCCCAACTGTAGGCTAATGTAAGTATTCTGAGCACGTTTAAGGTAGACCAAGGTAAGCTATGGTGTACCATAGGTTAGGTGTGTTAAATGCATTTCTTTATTTTTTCTTTTTTTCTTTTGAGACAAAGTCTTGTTCTGTTGCTCAGGCTGGAGGGCAGTGGTGCCATCACAGGTCACTGCAGCCTCAAACTCCTGGGCTCAACCAATCCTTCTACCTCAACCTGCCAAGAGTACCTGGGACTACAGTTACACACAAATACACCCGGCTAATTTTTCTATTTTTGGTAGAAACAGAGTCTTGCTTTGTTGCTCAGGCTGGTCTTAAACTCCTGGCCTCAAGTGATTTTCCCACCTTGGCCTCCCCAAAGTGCTGGGATTACAGGTGTGAGCCACACCACACTGGCCACATTTTCACTTAAGGTATTTTCAATTTCTGACAGGTTTATTGGAACGTAATCCCATCACGAGTCAAACATCTGTATTTCTAAATTCCATAATTTTAGTTATTTGCTATATTACTTTTTTATTTCAAAATTTTAAACGAGCAAAGAATCATTTGTGTATCTTGGATTTTCTATAAAATGATCATTTGTGTCAGTCATACATGGTGTCACAAATGTTCTTTTGTCAAACTCTCCATATCATAGTGGCAAGAAGGGCCACCTGCTCAAGGTGGAGCTTCCACCGAGGAACCTGGCAGAGCACCTGTTGTTCAGTTAGTAGCCTGATGAGAACACCCCCACTCTGCCTGCTAGTGCACAGCAAGAACATGTTCAAAAGAAAGTTATTAAAACACATACACACTATTAGGCATTATACAAATACACAAATTACACGACTCTAAAGTTCCATTATATTACAGATGAATATTCTCATATTCGTTGTATTTTGGGAGGATTCTCTGTACACTTTTCCACCCTGAATGGTGGAGCCCTGGCCATTCCAAATAAGCATAAAGCATCCAAGGAGATGCTTTCTGGTGATGCCTTTCAGGTGATGCCTCACACACAACCTTTTCCTCTGTCCCTTTTCATGAGAGCCCTTCATCCTTAGGATTCAGTCAATGGATACTTACTGAGCACTTAGTATATGCAAAGCACTATGGTAGGTACTGGGGGAACAGATGTGAATATGACCCATACTCAGCTTTGGCCATCACAGATCTTAAAACTGCAGTCCCCAACCCCTGGGCCACAGACCAGTACCAGTCCGTGGCCTGTTAGGGACCAGGACTTAGAGCTCCATGGGGCACCCCCCTCCCGTCCGTGGAAAAATTATCTTCCATGAAACTTAGGAACCAAGGGGCTGCACAGCAGGAGGTGAGCGGTGGGCTAGCAAGTGAAGCTTCATCTGTATCTACAGCTGTTCTCCATTGCTGGCTTCACCACCTGAACTCCGCCTCCCACCCCCCACCCCGTGGAAAAATTGTCTTCCATGAATCTGATCTCTCGTGCCAAAAAGGTTGGGGACTGCTGTCTTAAAAGAAACAATTCGTAGTACTCCCAGAGCAATGTAATAGGAAATTGTGATAAGTGCTACAAAGGAGATTTACAGATGCTATGTGGTAGGGATTAATTTGCCCAAGGTAGAAGGAGTGTTGTTTCTACAAGAGCAGTTTGAGTGGGGTCCTGGAGTGTGGCTGGAGCAGAGAGGTAGGATTGCAGAGTATGGAGGAGGTGAGACGGGTGGGCCTTGCTGGCCATGGCTAGTGGCTTGACCAGGAAGGCCACATGATAATCTGTCTTTCATCCCGACTTGGTGCAGTGCTCCTACCAACTTGGGAAAGCTGACTGTTTTTCAGGAACTTTTGTGAGCCAGTTGTTAAACATAGTCATTGTTAAAAATTAAATTATGTAAACTTACAATTAAATAAATTATATGTGCGTGTGTGTGTGTGTGTGTGTATATATATATATATATATAAATTTTTTTTTTTTTTTTTTGTGAGACTTGTTGCCCAGGCTAGAGGGCAGTGGCATCCTCATAGCTCACTACAATCTCAAACTGCTGGGCTCAAGCCTCCTCCTGCTGCAGCCTCCCGAATAGCTGGGCCTACAGGTGTGCACCACCAGGCCGGCTAATTTTTCTATTTTTAGTAGCCCAGTTTTTCTATTTTTAGTAGAGATGGCTCTCACTCTTGCTTAGGCTGGTCTCCAACTTCTGGGCTCAAGCAATCCTCCTCCCTCAGCCTTCCAGAGTGCTAGGATTATAGGTGTGAGCCACTGCACACGGCCGTAAGTAAATTATATTTTAAAAGAGGCAATACATACTCAAAATTCGTTATTCCTGATTATTTTACTACATTTTACCATTATATGCTCTTGAAGATATTTATCTTTATTGTATTTGTATGGTACATACACAGTTGGCTCTCTATATCCACGGGTCCCACATCTGCGGATTCAACGAACTGCTGATCAAAATATTAAAAATAAAAAAAAATACAAAAATAAAAATAACACAAACTTTAAAATAGTATAGTATAATGACTATTTACATAGTAGTCATGCCTAATAAGCATTTTTGGGAATATTTACATGACAGAAATTTGCAAATGACATAAATTAGGCTTTGTTGATTGTCTAGATTTAAGAAAATGATGAAGAAAATATTAATAATGCAGATTGAACTTAAAAGTGTCATATCTATAACTATTACATTGTGAATAGCACAAAAAATTAGAGAAATATTCTCCCAGGATTTGAAAACTATTTATCAGATTCAGCAAAGAAGTCACTCAAGTCATTTAGGAACCAGTGAAGTTTCAAAATCTACTTTCATTGTTTCGTTTTTGTTTTTTATTTCAATTTAATTTTATTTTTTTCATGCTAATGACCATCTGAGCCTTCAGCAAGTTGTAATCTTTTTTTTTAATTTTTTAATTTTTTTTTTTTTTGGAGACAAAGTCTCACTCTATCGCCCCAGCTAGAGGGCAGTGGCATCATCATAGCTCACTGCAATCTCTAACTCCTGGGCTCAAGTGATCCTCCTGTCTCAGCCTCTCACGTATCTGGGACTACAGGCATGTGCCACCACACCCAGTTAATTTTTCTATTTTTTGTACAGACAGGGTCTCACTCTTGCTCAGGCTGGTCTCGAACTCCTGAGCTCTAGCAATCCTCTCGCCTGGGCCTCCCAAAGTGCTGGGATTACAGACGTGAGCGGCCATGCTGGGCCCATTGTTTCATTTTTGTCTTACTCACAAATGTCAATAAAAATATCAGCCAAGGACTGCTACATGGTGGCTCACACCTGTACTCCCAGCTACTCGGGATGCTGGAGGATGGGGGCAGAGCGGGGGTGTGCAAAAAGGGGTGGGGAGGATTGTTCCAGAGCCCAGGAGTTGGAAGCTACATTGAACTACCATCATGCCTGTGAATAGCCACTGCACTCCAGCCTGGGCAACATAGCGAGACTTTGTCTCTA